TCCATTGTATGGATAACAAATGCAAGCTTACCGACTTTCAGAACTAGTATCGTGAGTGGATTTCCAGCACGATTACTAATTGTAACGGTACTTTGGTCTACAGGATTTCGTGCCGCAACAGGTCATTCCATTCATTGAAAAAGCCTTTTGATTGAGAAAGTGTACCTTTTTAGCAAGGTTTACCTTGGTCGAAAATAACTCCCGCTATATAAAGTTGATCAGAAGATAAAAAATATTATTCTTGTTAATGAATAAGGATTAGGCCTACTACTATGTCCATTTTTATTAATCCAATCTACTTAAATTTACTTTCAGATTATATATTTAATTAATTAAAAATGTTTAAATATTTCCAGGGCAAGCTACGGATATTTTACGGAGTTTGGTGAATTTTATAGGTTATTTTATAGGCATCAAGCTACTGTAATATGATTACATATTTTTTGTAATTTCCAGTGGCGGATCCAGGAATTCTAAATAGAAAGGCCCAGGGAGGGTACTTTCACAGATAGAAGATCTATACTACCTCAGCCATGGTTGGGGCTCAGGTAAGACACTTTGTGATTATGGCACCTAGCTAGATGGCCGGAAATTGTACATAGCCTATCAGTCACAAATGATTAATTCCTAAAGTCAAGCGAAAGATATTTTTTTATTCGAAAGAATTTGTTTTTACTCGATAAAGTGGTTATATTACGTTAGTTTGAAGGTATACTGTAAGCCAGTCAGTTACACTTACTATACATCTTCGTGGTTAGCATAAAGAGCAAGAGAACTAGAACGTCGCTCCATTAAGAGTGCCTACCTCCCCCTCCCCCACCCCCGCCCCATATGCCTAAATACAGAATTCACGAATGCAGGCGATTTTTTNAGGCGATTTTTTCCTTTATGCTCGATGGTGGGTTTCAAGGAAACTTTACAGATGCACGTATACAGACCTCAATAAACATTTGGTTAAAAAATAAAAAATCTATATATTATAATAATAATAGGTCAATTTATAAGGCGCAAATCAACAAGGTGTAAGCTCAAAATAATAATAATAATAATAATAATAGGCCTAATAATAATAATAATAATAATAATAATAATAATAATAATAATAGATCTAATAATAATAATAATGACATTGTCGCAACATCACAGTACTCTGTTGGCCCGACGTCGGTAAACGTTTGAAATTTACAACTTCTAACCAACGCCGGCCAAACTGTTGTCACCAACCCCCACTAACGTTTACCGACGTCGGGCCAACAAAGTACTGTGACGTTGGGACAACGTCTCTATAAATACATCCTAATATTTACAACCTCTAACCAACGTCGGACCAACGGTTGTAACCAACCTCCATTCCAAACGTATACCGACGTCGGGCCAACAGCGTTCTGTGACGATGAGACAAGGTCTGTAATCACATTTAATATTTACTACCTCTGGCCAACGTCGGCCAACAACGGTGGTAACCAACGTCTATTTCAAACGTTTACCGACGTCGGGCCAACAAAGTACTCTGACGTTGCGACAACGTCTTTAATTACATCTAATATTTATAACCCTTATCCAACGTCGGCCCAACGGTTGTAACCAACCTTCACTAACTTTTACCGACGTCGGACCAACAAAGTACTCTGACGTTGTGACAACGTCTGTTATGACATCATAATATTTACAACCTCTAGCCAACGTGGGCCAACGGTAGTACCCAACCATCTTTTTAGTAGTTTGCCGACGCCGGGCCAGTAACAAATCGTGACGTTGTACCAACGTCCGTAGTCAGACTGAATATTTACGACGGCTTACCAACGTTGGGACGACATCGGAAAATCGACAAATATATTCATACGTTGGTTTGACGTTAACTCTCCGACCAAATTTTGCAACCAAACACCAACGTCGTACCAACGTCAGATATATCCGACCCCGACGCTTGCCAACGTTTACCAACGTTGGGCCAAAGTCGCTTTGCTAGCTGGGTATGCATCAGCCGAATGTAGTACAATTGTTTATCAGTGTGATTAATCTGCTCAATAAATAATTTTAGTTACTTGTGCAAATATAAAGATGTGGGTAACCCACATCTTTA